TCTATTCCACCTTTTAATTTTAACCCTTTCCGGACCGCGCACTTTTTGCGCTCACGGCCGCATGCTGCGCGGCAAGCATAAATATCATATATTTAATCTGTATTCCCACTAAAGCCATTATTTTGTCTCGTTTATGTCTTTGTCATGTCTCGAAGAATATATAAGATTAATTTGACAGAAAACTGTTTTGCAAAAAAAGGGAAAGGGCCATAAAAAGGGAGGAAGGGACGAAAATTGTTCAAAATAAGTTGGTATGGAGAAAAAGGGAGTAGAACGTGCCCAAAACGATTGGATCCATAAGAATCAGATACGACGAGCAGGATATTTCACAAATTCTTCGTTTTTAAGTGTTTTCAAGCGAACTACAACTGTTTTCTTTGAGCCCAAAGTGGAAGTCCATTTACTCTTTGGTTATTTTAGAACCTAGATTAAACCTAAAGTCTAGGTTTTTTCATACATATGGCATGAGTCTGTTACATAGGTATGTAACAACATAAAATATTTTATCGAAAAACCAAACTCTTGGAAAAATCAGCTCTTGAAGTTCCTGACACACCATGTGTGTCAGGCGGTCCGGAAAGGGTTAAACATTTACACATTACCAATCAGATAAGACATCGAGACTAAGAAATCCAAACCCCAAGAAAGGAACGTAGAGCAAACAGGAATAAAAAGGAACCGATAACAAAAACTAAATGAAGGGTATCTAAGCAATTACTGTCGACGGGCAAGCCGAAACAAGCTAAAAAAAACTTGTCCATAATTCTTCCAATACATTATTTTTTGAAGATTTTTATTATCCAAAGGTAAGTCACTGAATAAACTCGTGTATACCTTTTATGAAAAGAAGCGGCCCCCTCCCGTAGTGATGACCCAGCCGCGGATTGAACTGAAAGTAGGAAGGAGAAGAAGATAAATAATCGGAAATTAGGAAACGGAAACTAGGATTAAGGCCTAAACCCATTATATCGGTACGATGGCGAGATAGGGAGATCAAAAAGAAAAAGCACGAGCGAGGAGCCCGCTGAAAGCACAGAGCGACACTAGTAACGATAACTCCCACGCAAATAGTTCCCTACCTCAGTTTTGATCTTTTCCATGGTGTTTCATCAAGTGGTATGCACGAATTCAACACCCCGAGAAAGCTCTACTCAATGTAAGAACTATCCAAGAAACTGCTTATAGTGTCCTCAAACGGCAGCAGATTCCATTTCCTTTCAGATTATATCGCTGATCTAAATGGGTGTGATGGAGGCAACGAAATTTGTTCGAGATATTCAGTGGGAGTATGAAGGACGACAGCTGCCGGCAACTGGAGGGTCAGTCTTGTTCTTGAACCCTGATAAGTACCCTCCCCCGTTGGTACTTGTCGCAACGTAGGATTGACCCTTTTTCCAACTAACATGCATAGATTTCGTGGCAGATTGCCAATCAATGTTTTCTGGAAGTGAAATAATGAACAACTCCACCATCCATTGTTTAGGATTGACGCTTTTTCCAAACACACGTTTTTCCTGTCTCTATGCCATCTACACAGAAACACCAGAACGCAGAAGGATCAACGGTAACTGCTTGGCTTATCGAGCTTGTGGTCTACGTTCATTCTATGCTCCACTTATTTTCAGCGTTGTTTGTCATTGTTCTGGTGACCCTGTTCTTGGCTTTTGTGCACTTCTTCATGTCGATTGCTTTACTCTACGGTGCCATCAAGGTTTAGTGTGAGCTCGTTTTTTCTACTCCGAGTTTTCTGTCGTTCTTATGTGGTTTTTGAACTTCAATCTTTTCCCAGGAGACTGACCCTGGGATTGGGAGAGAAGCTCGTTGCAAGCAAGAAAAGCCTCATTATTTCGTCTTTTTCACACCTATGTTTGAGGAATTCTTGAGCTTACAGAAAGTATAACAGCACCTGGCGATTTCTAAAGTGTAACTCAGGGGGGATGAGGGTAGGGCTACTAAACTGGGCCATAAAGGTGGATAGATTTTATACAAACAACACATGGGCATGAGAAGTTATGGTACGGCATGAGTTATAGCGTGACCTGGAAGAGCATACCAAGTATTATAGAAAAGCGCTTAGATCCGAATCATCAAGTAGTCGAACGTGTGCTAAAATGACAGGAAGTGATCGCAGGACTTGGAAGACAATGACGGAATCGAAAATTACGAAAGAAGGAATAATTTAGTACAACAAAAACTTTGTGTGGCCGTGGATCTTCTCAGCAGCACCGATCATCATCATGTCGACAGCTTACGCAGTACTGTGGTGGAGTGGAGTGAGTTGGCGATTCTCTTATTTTTGATAAATTCCGTCCTAATCGAGTTTATGAATTCACTACCTCTTCATTTATTTGTTGTTGTTTGTTGTTTATTTGTTTATTTAAGGCAAAGCACCCGCATATTGGTGATACAAAAGCGCCTTCGTAATGATGACTGAGCTGTGGGGACGGCCTTGAAAGTGGAAAGGGAAAGCTAGAGAAATCTTTGAGAATCGCCTAAAATTAATGCCTCAACCTTCAACAAGGTCGGATGTGGAACGACGACGAGGCAGGGTGGATCAACGCCGATTCGAGAGAGACACCGATATCGAGGTGGGTGGGAAGCGTTGCAACGGGGGTCGATGGTTGCAGGCCCGTAAGGATTAGCGCCCTAACCGCGCAACTTTTGCGGCGAAGCTGGGTGATTTAGGTAGGTAGGGACCTTACAATTTCCCTCGCGTAATCTTCCCACAAGTCGGGCTAATTCCGGGTTTGCCTTTAAGTTACAGTGCACTCACATAAGTGTGCCAAAAAAGCAGAAAGCAACGGAGGTTATCATCTGTACGTTATCAAGCTAGATAGCTAGATGCATGGTGTAATCAATCCTTTTTGGAATGCGCCATGCATTCTGCTTCGGTTCAGAACCATAGTGGCAGTTGAATTGATGTATGGCCAGTTTCCAATTATCTTGTGAGGGCAACCGATGCTGCAAGATCAGTGTTTTTGTATTCTTCAAGACAAGTATGGTACCGTATAGACCGACCCAAAGACAAAAGTATAGAGCCTCGGGTTTTGTCATAAGGCGAAACTCCATCCACGTCCCATGACCCTGCACGTGAATGTTGCGCTACTTGCGGCTACACTACCTCCCCCCTAATATACATTATTGTTATGATTTGTAGATTTTTTTGATTTTATAGATTTTATACCTTTTGATAAAGCAGTCCAAGTAGTAATGTAGGTTAGTCTCTGGCTCAGCGTTTATTCTTCTTTTCTTATTCATTAGTTATTCATCTCCATTCACAATCTCACTGACATTCAGACGTACGCCACTCGGACTCAAACTGTTTTCTTCTCAGTTTTGACTAAAGGTAAAGAGATCCTGTTAGATGTTTTATCGCGTTTTTTCAGGCTTTCAAACTGCAAACAGCCTTATTAAAAGAATTTTTTACATATTTATACTGTTCTTGCAGTTGATGTGAACAAATGGCCCTGCGAAACCTGTGGTGCGCTAAGCAAGTCGCAACCTTGATCCGGAAAAACAGTTCCTATGTGCATTTGTTTCATTGTTAGGAGCAGGGTCAACCGTGACGCTCGCACTTTTTCCAAAATTTTGCGACTCCCCTCCTTCAGCAGGTCTCGATGTCATCCCCCACCATCACGACGCTCAGAGGTTCCCCCAATACGACCACCACCCTCGCCATCATGGCTCTCTCTAATCAGTCGGCACAGCCCATTCCGCCCACTTCTCCTCCGTTTCCGGGGGAGGCGGAGTTAGGAAACGTCCAAAATCTGTCTCTGCTCTCCCTATCCGTACCTTCCCACGCTCCTATGCTGAATCGCCTCTGCCATTCCCTGTAATCGCTAACCCCATTCCCTCCACTAAATCCTAGAAATGCGAACACCCCCGAACCAAAACTGCAGCCGCGCCCCCGTTCGAATAGGGCCGAATGCAACGTTGACGCTGGTAGGACGAGACCACCGATAGAGATAAGTATTAGTAATTAGGGGGAGTGGAGGAGTCGTGTACAGTGGGTCCGCATTTCTGGAATCATTAGCACGAGTAGAGAACATAAGGCAGCGGAAGGTCGAGCAGCTCATGAATGCTACGTCACTTGGCATGTGCTTCGAAATTGAAATATATGCTAGAAAGTTTCGTAAGTCTCCACTTTCAAAAACGCAGAATGATGAATGATAAGTGGTACCGTTTACATTGTCCGTGATTCAGCTGTCGAATTTTTGTTCAACCATACTAAGCTTTGAATTCCTCTAAGACGGGTAATTGGTAGAAAATGCACCAAATTGTGCATCGTCTGAACCCCATAAGAATCTGAACGGGATCGCATCAACCCATCGAATGCATCTACATTTCAAAGGGATGACGAAAACATGGCACACTCGAAGAAGTCTGACACATCCGACCAATATGCGAATCCCTTATCCCATTACCAATTTTTTTGTTCGTTAACCGCTCAGAAGAGCGAGTCGCTGTCCCAGTCTTGCGACCAGGACACGGTCCTCAGCGCAGAAGCGCGTTCTTCCCGCTCGCGACTCGCCCGTCTCCCGTTCATCGCGGTGGACGGGTATCGCCCTTTTGTTGGGATCACGAAATACACACTACAGAAATGATTCTGTATAGTATGATTTCAGCGAAAATGAGACCTCCTGGCGCGCTCCTCACCTTTCCGCCGTACATCGTGCGGTTTTCTTCGCTGCATTCACATCGGCTAAATTGCCCGTGTAGCGACCAAAGCATCGCAGTCTGCTGATCGATGGAGTAATTGAAGCACATCAAAAGTGTACCGGTTTTGACTTTACATGGCTCAAGACATTGGGTAAGCACGTTCGAAGATTTTCGGCTGTGTAATAATTGTTGAGGCAAAACGCTGGCCCGTAACATCACTTGCCCGATTAGCGAGAGGTGTGGGTTCGAGTCGACCTAAGGCAAGAGTTTTGTAAATAACCCAGTATTCTAGTGGAACATTTGGCCTATTAATTTCTCACTTTTGACTTTCCGACCTCTATTCGTCCCGAGTACGCTAGAAACGCAGGTCCCACATCTTCCAAGCCGCTCTGCTTCAGGTTCCCGCGCAGCAGGTGGCCACATAACATTACGAGAGAGTCAGCCCACTAGTAACTCTTCACCGTTACTGTCCTGCAAGAGGGAACTGAAAAACCTATCTATCTTGATTTCTGAACGGAATGTCATAGGCCAGATAAAAGGCAATGATCACGAAGGCTGGAGGGCGGTGCGGTTTTGATGACGTCATTAAACGTCATTGGTGGACCAGACCCCTTATCGCGGTGCGTTTGACTGAGACCGCCTCTTGACGCCCTACTACCAATAACGTTCAATAATGTCCTGAGAACCGCATGCCCTCCAGCCATCGCGATCACTGCCTTTAAGTCATTTTGTTATAGGACGTATTCAATGAGCAGTTAACAATGTCCGTCGCCGAATTCGTTATGTCGTTAGCAGTTAACGTGAGTCATCATTCCAATAAATTTGTGATAGATTGTCTACAATCAGAAGTACCTAATTGAATGAAACTCACCAGCTCTATAATAAGTTTTTTTTTCCTGAAAAATTCGAGTTTTAAGGGAATCTGCCTGATCGTTGTGATCTTCTTCTACTGGAGGCTCATTGGCAGACTTACCTCAGATAAACCGGCACATTCTCGAGGCGCTTCTCGGAGTAGAGCTGTGAGTTAATTCCACTCGATAATACCAGGGGACAGCTTCTTGAATCATGGAACTTTCTCAGAGATATACCATAGACAATGAGATGGGAAAATTTGGTTCAGGTATGGAACTCAAGTGATACATCATTCAAAATTCAAGAAAAAAAATGCGAAGAGAATTGTCGGGATGCACTGATAATATCCCCTTTTTGCAATAATTATCCAGATTCAAGCCTACGACGCTGAGAGTGCGTCCCCGAGCAGGAGAGAATAGCGAGATAGATGCAGACACGGGAGGAGCTGTCACTGCTCACGGCATTTGTGGCCTGATATCGGCCTCCCTCAGCTGCTTTGCATCGCAGTGATGATGAGACACAATGCCCCCATATCTTGCGATAGCGCTCGGACAAATTTGCCCCAGTCCCTACACTTATACTGAAGTGTAATTCTACAATTTCGCCAGTGTACGATTTTGTCAGGTTGTATCGACCAAGAGAGATCTGAACCAATCCTTCACCCTGCTAAACTTTTAATAATTTAAACGTTCGAATTTTTCTATGGGAATGACTCAAGGCGAAGAAGTGAACCAACATTTTTCATGGCTTTTTTTTGGGGTCACGGTACTGGGATTTTTCGAATCTTATCAGAATTTTGAAGGTTGTAACATTGCACCAAACACGATTGATAGCAGAAAACGTGTGGTGACCAAAGGCGCCACTCACCACGCGCGCGGTGCGGGGATCAAATTCGGATCCGCTCACCAACCAAGCCTTCCATCATTCCGAGATCGTTCAACTGGTTTGCAAATCGGGTAACCCTCGGGTGGTTGCATGGACCAAATTACACTCAAGATATCATTACGATTCGTTATCCTTATGTACTCAAAGATATGGTTGTTGAAGGAAAGCTCCATGATAAGTTTAGAGGTCGAAGATCGGCGAAAATACCTGGTCGGAATTCAGGCGGGTCCCATAAAGGTACGAGACGCAACGACGAGTTTCTCCAGAGACCCATCAGGGCCGTACCCGCGCATTAGTAGGCCTCCCCTCAATGCGGAAATCAATTGGCGGAGAAGGGGTTATATTTCTCGC